CAGACCCCTCTGGGGGTCCAGTCCTTGCGCACTCCTCCACGGTCCTGCCGTGTCCGGCGGTCCCGTCTGGCTCCCTGTCAGGTCTTCACCTCCCCTCGTTCTCTACGAACTTGGTGAGTGGAGCTGACCTACAGGATGTGTGGGTTGACCAGTTCACCCCTGGAGGTCAGCGTGTGACACACTGTACGTGTTCCCGGACTGGTCGGCACCTGGCCACGTTCACCCGAGAGCCTGGCTCGAGTCTGTACACACTCACCACTGTGTCCCCTCAGGTAGCTGCGTCTGCGTCTGCGTCTGCGTCAGGTCAGCTAGCGGCCCCCTGCTCGTGTCGCGCTCTGTCGCACCAGACCCTCCTTTGGCACCACCGCCTTGGTCACCCCTCGGTGCAGCGCCTTCGTAGCATGCACCGCCGTTTCCTTGTCTCTGGACTTCCAGAGACTCTGCCTCCTCTACCACCCTCGCCTGCTCCTCCCTGTCTTCCCTGTGTCGAGGGGCGGCAGCGCGCCGCTCCTCACTCCTCCTCGTTCCCTCCCACAGAGGCTCCCCTGCAGACTCTCCACCTGGACGTGTGGGGCCCAGCCCGCGTCCGTGGACCGGGCCACGAGCGGTACTTCCTGTTGGTCGTCGACGACTACACGCGTTACACCACGGTCTTCCCCTTGCGCAGCAAGGGGGAGGTCAATGATGTTTTGATCCCCTGGATCCGCGCTACTCGTCTCCAGCTCCGCGAGCGGTTCCAGTCGGAATTTTCTGTCCTGCGTCTGCACTCTGACAGAGGTGGTGAGTTCTCCTCAGACCTCTTGGCAGCCTACTGTGCGGAGCACGGCATCCGCCAGTCGTTCACGCTTCCGGCCTCTCCGCAGCAGAATGGGGTTGCTGAGCGCCGCATTGGCTTAGTCATGGAGGTCGCTCGTACCTCCATGATCCATGCGGCTGCCCCCCATTTTCTGTGGCCGTTTGCGGTCCGGTACGCCGCGCATCAGCTCAACCTCTGGCCCCGTGTCTCCTTGCCGGAGACCTCGCCCACACTGCTGTGGACGGGCCGCGCTGTTCCCTGTGTCTTCCTTGGCTTTGTCCCTGACGCGCCTGGTTGGCAGTTTTACCACCCCACCTCGCGCCGTGTCTTCCCCTCTCAGGACGTCACGTTCGACGAGTCGGTTACCTTTTACCGTCTCTTCCCCTACCGCACAGCCCCTCTCCCCCCCCCCGCCGCTCTTCCTCGCTCCAGGTGCTCCCCAGGTAGACCCCCTCCCCGCTCCTGGTCCTGCTCCTTCAGGTGTGTCTCAGGTAGACCCTCCTCCCTTGACTGAGCCGGTTGAGGTCACTGGTGACTCAGGTCCTGCTCGGGGTGCTGCTTCTGGGGGTGCTGAGCCTGGGGGTGCGGAGCCTGGGGGTGCTGAGCCTGGGGGTGCGGAGCCTGGGGATGCGGAGCCTGGGGGTGCGGAGCCTGGGGGTGCGGAGACTGGAGGTGCTGAGCCTGGGTGTGAGGAGTCTGGGGGTGCTGAGCCTGGGGGCGCTGAGGCGTCCGGTGAGCAGTCTCCCTGGGGCGACCGTCTCCGTAGTCGCTCCGCTGGTGCCTCGCCGCTGCACTCTTGTCGTCGACTCCCTCTCTCCCCACAGCAGCTGCTTGAGTGGTACGCTGGCCGTCAGGGTCGCGCTGCTGGAGCTAGGGGCCCTGCTGCGGGAGGCGCTGGAGCTGGTGACTCTGCCACTGGAGTTGTTTCTGCTGGAGGTTCTGGAGCTGCTGAGGGCTCTGGAGCTGGAGGTTCTGGAGCTGCTAAGGGTGCTGGCGCTGGAGGTTCTGGAGCTGCTGCGGGTTCTGGCGCTGAGGGTTCTGAGTCTGCTGTTGCGCGGCTTCCTTGGAGTAGCCGCCTTCGTCCGCGTGTGCCTCTCACCTCGCAGCAGCTGCACGAATGGTACGGTCGCCGTCAGGGTCGCGCTTCTGGAGCTCGGGGCTCTGCCGCTGGAGGTACTTCTGCTGTCGTCACTGGAGCTGGGAGTGGTGCTGGTCCCGGAGGTGCTCGTACTGGAGGTACTGGAGCTGCTGCTGGAGGTGCTGAGTCTGAGGGTGCTGCTGCTGGAGCCACTGAAGCTGGAGACCCTGGGACTAGAGGTGCCGGTTCTGGGGATGCTGCTGTTGGTGGAGCTGGTCCTGGAGGAGCTGGCGCTGAGGGTTCTGGAGCTGCTGGAGGTGCTGGCCCAGGTGGCCCTGGAGCTGGAGGTTCTGGAGCTGCTGAGGGTGCTGGCGCTGGAGGTTCTGTAGCTGCTGGAGGTACTGGCGCTGGTGGCGCTGGAGCTGGAGGTTCTGGAGCTGCTGAGGGTGCTGGCGCTGGAGTTTCTGGAGCTGCTGGAGGTGCTGGAGCTGCTGGGGGTACTGGAGCTGCTGGTGCTGGTGTCACTGCACAGCCGCGCCTGTTCTTCGCTCCACCGTCTCCGTCGTCTCAGCCACCGCCTGACTCTGTGCTTCGCCAGGTTCTTAGTCTCCCTTCGTCTACTGGTCTTCCGTTGCAGCCTGGTTCACCGCTGCCTGCTCCTTCTCCTTACACTGAGCAGCTAGGGAGTCTTACTGAGCGTCGTGCCTGCGTCGCGTCCTGTCTTGCCTGTCTGTTCTGGTCGTCCCGGTCGTCGTGTTCCTCGTCCGCGTCTGCCGGCTGTCCCCGACACCCACCTCGTAGTCCGTCGTCCTTCCTCTCCTCCACAGCGTGTTCCTCTGCCGTCCCCTCCTGCGTCTTCTCTGCCTGTCGTTGCGGACCCCGAGTCTGACCGGTTTCGTGCTGAGCACCCTACTGTCACGCGTCTGCTAGCCACTGTTGTCACTGACCCGTCGTTTGAATCTGCTGCTACGTCTGCCTTAGTTGCTGAGCTTGTTGACTTTGCTGCTGCCTGTCGTCTAGACTACGCTGCTAGTCTTGTTGTTGAGTCTGAGTCTGTCTGTCCTCCATCCGTCGGGGGTGAGTGTGCTCTTGGCACGGACGTCCTTGAGGACAGGCAAGAGGACCTTGAGTGTCTTGCAGCCGCTGCGCCTCATCTCGTGTCCATGCTGCTTGCCCCTGAGGGAGACCCGGATGCTCCAGACATCCCGACCCCGCGCTCTTACGCTGAGGCGATAGAGGGTGAGTACTCCTCTCAGTGGCAGACAGCCATGGACGCAGAGATGGCATCCTGGAAGTCCACAGGCACCTACGTCGACGAGGTTCCCCCACCTGGGGCGAACATCGTCAGTGGCATGTGGATTTTCAGGGTGAAGCGGCCGCCAGGTTCTCCGCCTGCCTTCAAGGCGCGTTACGTTGCACGTGGTTTCAGTCAGCGAGAGGGAGTAGACTTCTTCCAGACCTTCTCCCCCACCCCGAAGATGACCACTCGTCGGGTGCTGCTGCACGTTGCCGCTCAGCGTGACTACGAGCTTCACTCTCTTGACTTCAGCACAGCCTTCTTACAGGGCAGCCTGCACGAGGAGATCTGGCTGCGCCGCCCACCTGGCTTCACTGGGTCGTTCCCTCCTGGTACCCAGTGGAGCCTCAGGCGGCCGGTCTACGGTCTCCGCCAGGCGCCACGTGAGTGGCACGACACACTGAGGACGACACTTGCGGCTCTTGGGTTTGCTCCGTCGACTGCTGACCCGTCGCTGTTTCTGCGCACCGACACTTCGCTGCCGCCGTTCTACATCCTCGTGTACGTCGACGACTTGGTCTTTGCCACTGCTGACACTGAGGCTCTCGCCCTGGTGAAGTCGGAGCTGCAGAAGAGACACACGTGCACAGACATGGGTGAGCTGACAAGCTATCTTGGCTTGCGGATCACCCGGGACAGAGCACGCCGCACCATCACACTGACTCAGTCACACATGGTGCAGCAGGTCCTTCAGCGCTTCGGCTTCACCTGGTCCTCGGCACAGCACACTCCTCTGGCTACAGGTCACTCGCTCTCAGCTCCACCTTCGGACGAGTCCGTAGAGCCGAGTGGTCCTTACCCAGAGCTAGTGGGCTGCCTCATGTACCTGATGACCTGCACTCGTCCTGACCTTGCGTACCCCCTTGGCCTTCTGGCTCGCTACGTGGCTCGTGGTCGGCACCGAAAGGTGCACATGGATGCTGCTAAGAGGGTACTACGCTACTTGTGCAGTACATCGGGCATGGGGCTCGTGCTTGGAGGACGGAGCGACGTTGTCCTCACTGGGCACTCAGACGCTTCTTGGGTTGACGACCAGGCTACGCAGCGGTCGTCACAGGGTTACACCTTCAGCCTTGGCTCTGGTTCGGTTTCTTGGTGTTCTACACGCTCGTCTTCAGTTCTCAGCTGCCATGGCTGCACAGGAGTTACGCTGGCTCACCTACCTGCTGACCGACTTGGGAGAGCGGCCTCGTTCTCCTCCAGTGCTGTACGTCGACAACAAGGCCGCCATTGCCTTGTGTCAGGAGCACAGACTGGAGCACAGAACTAAGCACATCGCTCTGCGTTACTTCCTGGCTCGAGATTTGCAGCAGCGTGGTCAGCTTCGTCTTGCTCACGTGGCCACTCGGGCCAACACTGCTGATATATTCACCAAGGCGCTTCCGTCTGGTGATCATCAGCGTTTCTGCACTCTGTTAGGCCTTGTGCCCACGTTTCCTCCCTTGCTGTAGACTTTGCTTGTCCTGTGATCTATATATATACCTGCATGCTTGCTCTGCTAGGTAGAGATCACTGTGCTGTTGTTGTTGCATATATACCCTTGCATGTGAACTGGCCTTGTGGCCCTTTGCTTGTGCTCAGTGTGTGTGGTGACATTGTGATCCACCCTGAGCTTGCTTTGCTTCTCTTGCTCTCCCCCACTTTGCCTATGGGGGTGTGTCAAAGCATATGCTTGTTATACATGTGTAGGCTGTAGTGGGGTAGCCAATATGGGGTACAGCCCCTTTTAGGGTTTCATACTTGTACCCAACTCTGACATAGTTCATTCATTCCTGCTGCTTGATTCTGACATCTGCTTGGGCATCTCGGCGGACGTCAGGAGGGGCGGCATGCTCTCCGCGCGTCTGTGCTCGCTGCTCTCCCTCACGCACCTCCACATCGACGGGCTCTCCTCCTCAATCATACTCCCCTTGGACCTCGGCAGCCTGCACAACCTGCGCTCTCTCTCCCTCACCGGCGGCATCTGGCTCTGCCTGCCACACTCGCTCACCCGCCTCGCCCCGTGCCTGCAATCACTCAAGCTGCACTACAGTGGCCACAAGGACGCGGACGCCTTTCGCCGCAAGCTGCCTTCCTTTCTCACCTCTCTCACCTCGCTCACCAACCTTCACCTGCGCAACATGTACCTTCCATCCCCCCCGCCTGCCTTTGCGCGCCTGCGCGCCCTCCGCACGCTGCGCATAGAGTATAACACCACCTTCCGCAGCCACGTGTCCTTTCCAGAAGACCTGGGCCAGCTGGCAGCCTTGGAGTGGCTGGAGCTGAAATGCTGCTCCACAAGAGCAGGGCTTCCGCAGTCTCTCTGTGACCTGGGCTCTCTGCGGCGCTTGTACCTTGGTAGCAAGACCCTGTCGCACCTGCCCACTGCCATTTCCCGGCTGTCGCGCCTAGAAGAGCTCACTATCCACTGGTGCCACAGTCTCACAACTCTGCCCCGGGGGTTTGGCCAACTGGGAGCGCTACGGAAACTGACCATTGGTGGTGCGTCCAGGGATTACCTTCCTGACAATCTGTCCGGCTTATCCTCCCTCGAGGAGGTCTCTTTGGTTCATTGTTCTAACAGATTCCGCCTGCCTCCCTCCTTCTGCCTCCTCCCTCGCCTGCGCACGGTTACTCTCACCAAATGCGATGATCTCACCACCCTGCCTTCCAACTTCGGCTCGCTATGCTCCCTGCAGCGCCTCTCTGTCGACTCGTGCAAAAAGTTCCAGCATGTGCCCTACTCGTTCTCCCCCCTTCCCTCCCCTCCCTCACCCTCCTCACCATCTCCAACTGCCCGAAATTCTCCTTCCTTCCCGAGACCTTTGGCTCGTTGCGCCGCCTAACCCACCTCAAAATTGTCCAATGCGACTCATTCACGCACCTTCCCAGCTCCTCCCTGTCTGCGCTCCGAGTGGCCTGCTTCAGCTTTTGCAAGCAGCTGCACTCCCTCCCGCCCACCCTCGGCCTGCTGCCGCGCTTAGAAGTGCTTCAGTTGAGGGAGTGCGTGGCACTCAAGCCGCTGCCGAAGTCGCTCAGAGAGGCAAGGGCGCTGCGGCATGTGGATGTGTATGGTAGTGGTGTGGCGGAGGAAGGGATGGAGGTGGACGTTTGTGCAAGTAAAGTGCACGTTGTGAGGGGGAGGATGGAAGGGGACGAGTACGTGGGGACGAAGGATAGGCGGAGGAAGGGGAGACGGTGTCGGGGTGAAAATTTGGGAATGCCGTAGGATAGTGTTGGCTCTTGTACGGTAAGCAAATGAGAGGGTATGGCATTGTTGTGCCCTGGATACTACACTTTGATTGTTTGCTCCAAAATATCAATTAGAATAGTAGCGAGTGTAAATAATGAAACAATACAGCACATTGGTAGCCCAGTGTATGAAGCATGGTGTTACAGAAATCATAACGCTGCACGAAGGCACGCTGATCGGTCTTAGCATGTCAGACCTACCCCTGTAAAGGCAGAGAGGACCTCAAACTCTAGCCCAGACAAGAAACTAGACCTCGTCTCATCACTACTCACCATGACTGTCCATCTGCCAAATACCATGCCTTCACCATGCTTTCCAATTTACGGCAGTGGTCACACGCATCAGCTAACAATCTCATCACATTATTCCATACCGTATCCAGCGAGACTCTCTCTAGATCCCCTTCTCAATAACTCTGAAACTTCCACCGCAACACCCCCCCCTTGCACTGCCTTCCTCTGTTAGCACCTACAAAGTGGCAAGGAAGATAGCAGGCATGGTGGCAGACACAGCAGGACCAGGCGCAGGAGCAGGAGCAGGGGGGGCGGCAGTGTTGCTCCAGAGCACCCACTTGACCATCCAGGGGCGCTTGTCGGATTGCAGTGACCATGGCATGCTGTTGCCGCTGCTGTGCTGCTCCACTGCAGCCTTGCCTGCGCTCTGCTCCCACAGGGCCACGAAGCTGCCGTAGTGAGCCTTGGCCTTGCCTGCCACCGCGGGGCCTGCAGGAACAAGAGAGGGGAGACGCAACACGAGTGTGTGTGGTGAGGCAGTGCAGAGAGTGGGCCGCACGATGCCTTGGGACATGGGCGTGGAAGCCAGGCATGGTCAGGTGGGCCGCACGATGCCTTGGTAGCACCCACAAGCAGCACAGGACAGGGCACGGAAGGGCAAGGCAGGGCAGCGGCAGCAGGTCACACGAGGTGAGGACACGCGAGAGGGCAGGCTAGTATGTGTACCAGGATGCGGAGCAGGTGTGCAGGAGAAGTTGCCAGTGGTAAGTGCGAGCGCCTGGTGGTGGTGGCTGGCGAGCGGTGAGCGGGCGGCGGAGAGAGATAGGGAGGAAGAGTCGAGGGCACGCAGCAGAGCCACGGAGTCCAGAGAGGCATTGGGCGTGCAGCCTAGTGATGCCAGTGGCTGCATGGGGGCGAGGGATGGGTGAGGGCGTCGGGAGAAAGGATGTACGAAGATAGTGAGACGCATGGAACAATGCACTACCGGTTCTGCCCCTCCCCCTCTCCCTTGTTTTATCCTCCCTCGGCCCACGTACCAACAGAGTGCATGCATCCTAGAAACTGCAGCAACATGCCCATTGCCGCCTCTCCACCCTCTACCCCCCCACCACATTCCGTTGAAAAGACAGCCACACATTTCCTCTCCTCCCATAACCCCCCCCCCCTCCTCTCTATTTCCCCCCTGCAAGCAAGCCTACAGCACAGCATACCTGCAGGGCAGCGCGGGCGTTGTCAAGGGAGGCAGCATCGATCCACAGCAGCGGGCGGTGGGGCGGCATGACAGCAGCGCCAGAGGGGGAGAGCAAGCGCAGCACCTCCGCCACACTGCCGTTGCCCACTGCCGCCGCTGCTGCTGCCACCGCCGCCTGCAGCTGCTTCGCCTCGCCTCCCCCAGTCACAGCTGCAGCCTTCGACTCCACTGGCACCCCCACCTCGAATGCTGCCTCTGAAGCAGTAGCACGGGAAGCAGCATCAGCAGAGGCGACGTTGGAGTTCCAGGCGAAGGTGGTGAGCGCCCATACCGCTCCGCCACCGCTGCTGCTTCTGCCCTGCAGCTGCACCTGCTGCTGTGGCAGCTGCTCCCACACCTGGATGCCCTTGCCCGCATCCAGCAGATGCAAGCCGTCCTCCGACAGAATGACGTAGCTCACTCGCACCACCACCGCCACGTGTCCCTTGGGATCGCCCACCACCACCCGCCCAGCATCTCCGTCAACATCAGCATCAACATCAACATCAGCATCTACCGCCGCATCCTCCACCCACCCGTTCCCTCCCTCCACTCCCTCCACTCCCCACTCCGCGCCTTCCGCTGCATCGTCCACCTCACCCGTCACAGCTCCCCAAAGTGCCCGCGCGGCCCCTTTCTTGCCGGGAACCGTTTCAACGACCTGCACGTCCACGGGGTTCAGCTGCACCGTCGTGCCCGCCCACGCCTCCACTGCGCGCACGCGCTCATCGCCGCACACCGCGGGCAGCAGCGGCGAGTTCGGAGGCAGCAGCGTCAGGCACGGCGCCAGCAGCGCGAGCAGCGACGACGCGTTGTCCTGCGCGCTCGCGATGGCGGTGGAGAGGCGCGGGAGGAGCGATGCGACGTCCAGGCGGACGTCCTCTGGGTGCGGGGCGGAGCGCAAGAGAGGCGCGGAGGAGGCGGCAGCAGCAGCAGCAGCAGCAGTGGCGGCGGAGTCAGCGGCAGGTGTGGCAAGGGTTTGGAGTGAGGGCGGGGGGGTTGGCTTGGCGGGGGTGCAGGTCCACATGGCCCACGCGATGCCGTACACCCACCGCCCCTTGCTCTCCACGCCCGCACTCCCGTTGATCACCTTGCGCTGCTCGCGCTTCCACAGCAGGAACAGCGACCCCGACGCCGTCTCTGAGCCTGCACGCAGGGCGAGGGGAGGCGCAGCGACGCGGGTGGGGCGGGGAGGGAGGACGGGCGGAAGAATTAGTCGCATTTGGGCATTGGTTCCACACTGGAGGATAAGGCACGTTGCCGTGCAGTGACACATCCACGCATCCAAACACCCTTTCTCCCCACCCGCGCTCATCACACCCACCCAACGCACAAACCTCCCCAGACCTTCCCCAAACCCGCCACATCCCCTCCCCCTCCCCCACAGGGGCCCTCACCCCCCTGCGCGTACCGTTGGCGGAGGCGGAGTAGTCCCCCCAGGAGAGCGCGTAGAGCAGGTCCTCGTTGGGCTGCGCGGGCGCGGGCTTGGGGAACGCGAAGTCCGCCAGGCGCACGCCGCTGATGGGTAGGGACAGCAGCGTGCCGGCCGCCACAAGCGACTGGCGCGGACAGCGCGGGGGGAAGAGGGGGGGGAAGGGAAGCGAGGAGACAAAGAGAGGTGGGAGCAAGGGTGAGTAACGGGTGTGCAGGGAAGCATTTCTCAACCTCCCTTGTCGACCCACTTCCCTGGGTCCCCCCCCTTCCGGCCCAACCCCACCGCCACCTTCCCGAACCCCCCCACCCCTTGTATCCGCAACGCCCCCTGGCCCGCCATTACCTGCAGCAGCGCGCGCTTCTCCTCCGCGGTCACCGCCAGCGTCTCCCGCGCGCCCGCGGGCAGCGCGAGCACGGGGCCCTCCACCAGCACGTCCTCCGCCGTCTCCGCATCCCCCAGCGCCAGCGCGTCCGCCAGCACCGCCAGGCGCGCCTGCAGCTGCTCGCGCACGGGGCCGGGCTTGGGGTCGCGCACGGCCGGCGGAACCACGGCGGAGATTGCGGAAGCCGCGGAGCCTTCCGCATCGGCGGAGTTTTCCCGGTTGGCGGAGGGGGCGGGGTCGGAGTTCCAGACGAGCCAGGAGAGCTTCCAGTTGATGGGGTCCGACTGCACGCCCGCTGCTGCGCCTTCTATCGAGTCCGCTTCAAACGGGAGTTTTCCCACCCCGACCCACACGGCGACGACCTTGCCCGCGTCGGCAACGCCGCCGTTGGCCTTGTTGGCCGTGTACTCGAACCGCGTCAGCAGCAGCTGCAAGTCGTTGTTGCGCGCGCCCGAATCGACGCCGCTCGCCGCCGCAATTTCGCCAAAGGACGGGTCCTCGCTCGACCCCACGACCAGCTCCGTCAGCGTCGTCTCTATATCGAGTCGCTTGTTCGCGAGGTGCTGCGCGAACGCGCGCTTCGCCTCGTCTGACTCGAGAACCTTCCCCGGGCTGCCCGGCGCGAGCACGACGGCGGAGGCCGCGAAGACGGTGGCGGCGGCGGCGGAGTCGTTGATGGCGAGCGCGGAGAGGAAGTCGCGCACCTTGCGCAGCACGAACGGCCGCACCTCCTCCGCGGACGGGTCGCGCAGCGCCGACTGTTCCGCCGAGGACGATGCGACGCCCAGGAAAGAGCTTTCCGCCGGTCCCACCTCGCGCGCGTCGTGGTCCTCGGGCGCAGGGGAGTGCAGCGAGGGCGGAGCCGGGGGGGCGGGCGGCTTGCCCGGAGTGGCGGAGTACATGATCCACTGCACGGCGAAGCGCAGGGGGGGGTCGCGGAGGGACGCGGAGAGCGAGGGCTCGGGGACCGGCACCCAGAGCAGCATGACCGTGCCGTGCGCCGTGACGTCGCCTGCGCGCAGGGGGAGAGGGGTTAGGGGGAGAAAGGTGAAGGGAGGGACGGTGGGAGGAGCATGAGGATGCGCGAGGATATGGATATTGGTGTACGCAGCAGGAGATCAGAGAAGATCTAGAGAGCAAGGGGTGGATGTGGGGTAGGTGAGGACGAGAGATGGAGTGGGGAAGCAGGAGGGTGTGGTGAAGAGAGGTAGGAATGTGGGCGGAAGGAGAGCGGCGACGAGATAAGGCTTTTGACGGCACTGACCGCTGGTGACGTTCGAGAGGAGGAACGTGCCGCGCGACAGAGCCACGCGGCCCGCATCGCTGCGGAGCGGCTTTGCCTCGCCGAGGGCGAGCGAGGGGTTGAGGAGGCGGAAGGGAATGGCGTCGTCCACCATGAGGTTCAGCGTCAACCCCTCGTACACCAGCCCCTGTGCGGGGACGGGGGGAGCGGAGGGAGGTGGGGGACGAGGGGGAAAATGGGAAATGGAGGGAGGGAGGGGGGTGAGTACGGGTTGAGAAGAGACAGCTGCTGCGCGGCGGTAGAACGAGAGGTGAAGAGCGAGAGCATGTAGACCTGCATTCATCGCGAGCCGCGCACCTGGAACAGCTGCTTCATCGCCTCGAGCCGCGTGATCGTGCGCGGGGGCTCGTGCGGCGGCAGCAATGTGATCTCCCGGCTGAGCGAGCCCTGGATCAGCGCGCAGTCGCCGCTCGCCACGGCCTCCGACAGGTCCTCCGCCTGCTGCTGCAGCTGCCGCACCACCGCCGATCTCCCCCCTCCCATCACCGCCTCCGCCGTCCCCGCGCGTGACACGGTCTCCGCGGAGCTTCGCGCGCAATTGAGCGGGACTTGCGCGGAGGCGGAGTCCGAAGCGCCGGAAAGGAACCGCGAGAGTGGCGCGTGGAGGTCGTTCTTAGCGATGTCGTCGTTCCACATGGCCCACGTGAGCTTCCACTTGCCGCCCTTCTTCTTCTTGCCTTCCATGCCCGGAGCATCCCCCGCCGCGTCCACCTCCTTGCTGCCGGCAGTCCACACGACGATGGCCTTGCCGACCGTGAGCACCTTGCCCTTGGGGCTGATCACCACGTACACCAGGCTCGTCGCCGCGTTGGCCGCGTCGCTGTTCTCAGCGGGGTTCGCGACGGCGCTCTTCGCCAGCAGCATGTCGGAGATCGTCAGCGCGATGCGCGCGCCGGCCGCCTTGAGCGAGCCGAGAAACGCCGCCTGGCTGTCCGGATCCGACAGGTTCGTCGCCGGCTTGCCCGGCGGCAGCAGCCAGACCTCGGGCGCGAAGATCGCGGCGGCGTCTGCGGTCCTGTTGGCCTGCAGCGCCGTGGCGAACGACTGCAGCGTCGCCTGCAGCTCCGCGCGCACCATGTCCGGCGGAACGTCGCTCGAGAGCGACGCGCCGACGACGGGCTGCGACTTCGCGACGGGTGTCGATGTGTCTACATGGTGGGACCGGAATAGCGCACGAGTAGCGGCGACGGAAATAGGGTAGAAATGGAGGACTAGGAGCAATGCACAGGGAACGAGCAGCAGGCGCAAGCCTGCCGCCTGAGGCGCCATTGCTTGTCAGAAAGGGAAGCTACCGATTTGGTCTGACGAAATTGAAGCGATGGATTACGAATGCAATGCAAAAGCTAGGGGCGCAAATCAACAAGATATGGAAGGAATATTGTACTGTAGGCACAATGTAGGCTTGCTGGGGCTAGACCTAGCGGAGGGATGGAAAAGAGAAACGTAGTGGTGCCAGGGGTGGGCAACGGGTGTTTGTGTTGTGGGGCTGCTGGAGGGCGGCACGAGGGGCGGGGTGGGGAGGCGAAGACAAGGGTGAGGAGGAGGGGAAGTGGGAGCGAAGAGAGCGGGGGGGGAGAGGATGGGTGGGGTGGGGAAGCTGGCGAAGAGCGAGGGGAGAGAGGGCAAGAAGCAAAAAGCGAGTGCGTTAGGCGGGAAAACGGTCGTACGAGCAGGAATTGGATTGATGTGCGACGAGATGCGAACTAGCGGCAGTCGCGGACGTGCGACAACATTGTGAGCGGATTGCACGTCGGAGAGGAAATGCGGTGCGAAAGAGGTACGATGAATCGCAGGGGGGCTGAATGGTCGTTGCGAAAATAGTTTCGAGCCTGCGACGGCTGAGTTGCTCGCATGAAACGAAGCAACAATCAAGCAGCCAGAATGCTGTCCAGAAGGTCCTGCGCATTGTCAGAGATTCAACGCATGTGGTCGGACCAACAAGGAAATATTTTCTACAACCTTGTATGAATTTATATATATCTGTAAGGAAATTTTCGACATTCCTTACCGTGTGCTTCAACACCGCGTACAAGACCAACCGTTGTTCGCCCGTTACTGCTAATGGGGCTTTGCCAACCTTCGTGCGCTGCATTTGCCAGACCATGCATCGCTGGCCTGGCCGAGTCGGCCTACACCTCGATACCAGCGGCGAACTAATTAGCTCGCACGCGCCGCGTTACCGTTTGCATTTTCGCTTATAGGTATTGCTCATGCCTTCGCTCATACTGTTGAAACTGTGTTTTATATAAACTGCCCTTTAGCATTAACAGTAGTGTAGTTTATTTCATTGTTGGTGGTGCACCATTGTTCTTGCCTATTTGTACTTGTCACTCCATAGTGCAAACCCTCCTTTGGCCAAACTATTCTCTCCGGTACTCAATCTTCCTAGCTAAACCCTAGGTGTGAGTTATGAGCCTACTTTGACATGCTATCAGAGCCGGAAGTTCCTCTAAGGACCTCCGTGATAATTTCTCATGGGCCCACCGCCACGCTGCCCGTCATGCAGCGTTCCTGCCCGTCGTGCGCCCCGAGCGCGCGGCGGTTCCTGCCCGTCGTGCGCCCCGAGCGCGCGGCGGTTCCTGCCCGTCGTGCGCCCCGAGCGCACGGCGGTTCCTGCCAGCCGTGCGCCCCGCGCGCCCTGCAACCCTGCTCGCCCGCGCCGTTTCGTCGCCCAGCGCCCCCCCCCCCCCCCCCCCCGTCGCCCCTCCCCGATTCGCCGCCCCCCCAGCCTCTCTCTTCTGCCACACTTGCTGCTGTGGGGTAAGTGGGTGAGGGGGTGGCGGGATTGAAGCTGCCGCCGCTGCACCTGGTGACGCCGCATCTGTCACCGCAGCAACCTGCTGCACCTGCTATGGTGTACCCCTTCAGTTGGTGTTGTTCACACTGGTTATTGCTAAGGGCAGTTTAGGGGGTGTGTTGAAACTGTGTTTTATATAAACTGCCCTTTAGCATTAACAGTAGTGTAGTTTATTTCATTGTTGGTGGTGCACCATTGTTCTTGCCTATTTGTACTTGTCACTCCATAGTGCAAACCCTCCTTTGGCCAAACTATTCTCTCCATACTCAATCTTCCTAGCTAAACCCTAGGTGTGAGTTATGAGCCTACTTTGACACATACTTTGTACTCGTTTGACACTCTAGTGCAATCCTCGCTACCTCGTCCCATTGCACCCGTAAAAATTGGCTATCATAGCCACTTTCCTTTTGGACCGCGCATTTCCGAAACCAGCAGAATTCCGTTTTTTTTTTTTTTTTTTTTTCACTCGAAGGGACTAACGCCCCTTAGCGTACTAGGTGTCAAAATAGGAAGACAGGAATGAGGTGGACTAGCAAGGATGGTGATACAAATAGGACAACCCTAATGGCTTGTACTCAAATAGGTTGTACTCACTACTGAGTACCCCAATGTAGCCTACAGTAATATTGAATGTTTGACACACCCCCATAGGCTAAGTGGGGGACAACAAACGGCCACAAGACCAGTCAAGAGAAGCAAAAAAAGCAAAGCTCAGGGTGGATCTCAAGATCACCACACATTCTGAGCACAGGCAAGCGACCACAAGGCAAGTTCACATGCAAAGTTTATAGTAGCAATTGCAGTAAACTGATCACAACCTAGCAAGAGCAAACATGCAGGTATAATAATATATATCAGAGTACAGCAAGTGCAAGGCAAGGTCAAGAGACAAGCAGGTGAGGCAGAGTGGGCACAAGCCCAAGAGCAGTGCAGAAACGCTGATGATCACTAGACCCAAGGGCCTTGGTGAAGACATCAGCAGTGTTGGCCTGTGTGGCCACGTAAGCAAGACGAAGCTGACCACGCTGCTGCAGCTCTCGCGTGAGGAAGTAACGGAGAGCAATGTGCTTCGTTCTGTGCTCCAGTCTCTGGTCCTGACACAAGACAATTATGGCCTTGTTGTCGACGTACAGAACTGGAGGAGAATGAGGCCGCTCACCCAAATTGGTCAGCAGGTAGGTCAGCCAGCGGAGCTCCTGTGCAGCCATAGCCCCAGCGTAGATCTCGGCCTCACAGCTGGAACTAAGTACACAAGAAGAGCGAGTGGACCTCCACGAGACAGAACCAGTGCCGAGGCTGAAACTGTACCCCTGTGTCGACCGGTGAGTCGTCTGGTCGTCAGCCCAAGAAGCGTCTGAGTGACCGGTGAGAACAACTGAACCCCGTCCTCCAAGCACTAGCCCCATGCCCGATGTACTGCACAAGTAACGCAATACCCTCTTCGCAGCTTCCCAGTGCACCTTTCGGTGTCTACCGGGAGCCACGTAGCAAGCCAGGAGGCTGAGAGGGTACGCGAGGTCAGGTCGTCTGCACGTCATCAGGTACATGAGGAAACCCACAAGCTCTAGATACAGACCATTCGGCTCTATGGACTCGTCCGAAGGTGGAGCTGAGAGCGAGTAGCCAGTTGGCAGAGGAGTGGGCTGTGGCGAGGAGTACTAGAAGGCGAAGCGCTGAAGGACCTGGTGCACCATGTGTGACTGGGTCAAGATGATGGTGCGACGTGCTCTGTCCCGGGTGATCTGCAAGCCAAGATAGCTCCGCAGCTCACCCAGGTCAGTGCAGGTGTGTCTCTCCTGCATCTCCGCCTTCACTAAGGCCAGAGCCTCAGTGTCAGCAGTAGCAAAAACCAAGTCGTCGACGTACACGAGAACGTAGAACGGCGGCAGAGAAGTGTCTGTGCGCAGAAACAGAGAAGGGTCAGCAGTCGAGGGAGCGAAGCCAAGAGCCGCAAGTGTAGTCCTCAGTGTGAGGCGCCTGACGCAGACCGTAGACTGGTCGCCGAATTATCCACTGGGTACCCTCAGGAAACGACCCAGTGAAGCCCCGTGGGCGGCGCAACCAGATAGCCTCGTGAAGGCTGTCGAGAAGTCGAGGGAGTGCAGCTCGTAGTCGCGCTGTGCTGCAACGTGCAGTAGCACCCGAAGAGTGGTCATCTTCGGGGTGGGGGAGAAGGTCTGGAAGAAGTCGACCCCCTCACGCTGACTGAAGCCTCGTGCAACGTAACGCGCCTTGAAGGCAGGCGAAGAACCCGGCGGCCGCTTCACCCTGAAAATCCACATGCCATCGACTATGTTCGCCCCAGGTGGGGGAACCTCGTCGACGTAGGTGCCTGTAGACTTCCAGGTAGCCATCTCTGCGTCCATGGCTATCTGCCACTGAGAGAGTACGGACACGTGATCGCCTTTGCGTAAGAGCGCGGGGTCGGGATGTCCAGTGCATCCGGGTCTCCCTCAGGGCAAAGTAGCGTGGACGCGAGATGAGGTGCAGCGGCCGCTAGGCACTCCAGCTCAAACTGCCTGTCCTCATGAACGTCACAGCCAAGGGCAAGCTCACCCCCGACGGACGGAGGACAGGAAGAGTAAAAAGCAAGACTCGCAGCGTAGTCAAGGCGGCACAAAGCGGCAAAGTCAACAAGCTCAGCAACTAAGGCAGACGCAGCAGCAGACTCAAAGGAAGGGTCAGTCACAACCGTGGCAAGGAGACGAGTGACAGTCGGACTGGCAGCACGGACAAGGTCAGACTCAGGGTCAGGAACGTGAGGAAGAGAAGACGCAGGAGGCTCAGGCAGGACAACACGCTGTGGAACAGAGGAAGGACGAAGTGCCATACGGTGAGTGCCTGGCACAGCGGGAGCACGAGGACGGACAACACGACGACCGCGAACAGGTGTGGAAGCACGAGTCTCAGACTCACGACGCTCATAGCAAAACTCAGTCACCTCCGTATGAGGAGCAGGAGCAGGCAGTGGGGAGCCAGGCAGTAGCTGTGGCTGAGACTGGTCAGTCGGTGGGAAAAGCAACGGAGGAGTAGTACCAGCAACCGGGAACTCAGTAGCCGCAGGCGGGAGACTGAGAAGGTGACGACGCGCAGACTGCTGCGGCTGAGTAGTCACACCCCCAGAACCTCGAGTCCCAGTAGGAACAGCACCCCCAGAACCAGCACCACCAACGCGATCACGATGAAATGTGCCGTAGCGGCAGGGGCTGACGTGTATGCGGTTGACATTCGGGAAGCCGAGGCAGTAGACAAACCTAGTGATTTATAGAAACTGCTCGCGACGTACCGGCTGACTTGGCAGCGCTACTGAAGCAGTACAGCGGGATTTTTTTGGACGACTTGCCAGAGGGACTGCCACCTCAGCGACCGGACGACCACATGATAGAGTTTGAACCGGGGGCACAGCCGACAGTACAGCGACAGTGCCGACTGACCCAATCCGAACTGGACGAACTACGAAAGCAACTGGATT